TACTTATTGAGAGACAGACATAACTGGACAGAAAGTTTCCTTTTCCTGGTTAACTCCTCAAATGCCCGCAGCAGCCAAGGGGGCCAAAGGCAGGAACGGAGCCAGGAGTTCCACGCAAGTCTCGCCCATGGGTGGCAGCAGCTCAGCGGGACAACCGTCCCTGCAGCCTCGCGGAGACCCCGTTAGCAGGAGGCTGGGATCCACGGTCAGGCCAGATTTTTTTGTTTGTTTGTTTGAAAAGGTTTTTTTTTCTGAAGACTGAAAATACAAGATCTGGCAGGAAAGGTCCATTTGAATTTTTTCTTTTAAGCCTTGTTCCTTTTTGTCAAGAACACTTTTGGCAAGGGCCATGTGACCTGGCTGGAAGTCTTAGTCAATATTTTGTGTTTTTAGGGCATACTTTGGGCTTGTTTTGAAAAGTATTATCTTTCTCTACTAAAATTCGAACACAGCGGGGAGATGAGAACACCTGTTTAAAGTTTGCTGTGTCAAGGATTTCAGCGTCTGGTTAGGATCCAAGCGTTTGCTCATGCTTGGTTTTGTAGGGTCAGAGGACCAAATTCCAACACATTGAAACATCTTCATTTGTTGGGATTTCTTGGCCAGCCTTGAGTCAGGCCGTTCTTCATTCCATAAAACAGAGCCAGTGCGGCAACAGGCTGAGCAAAGGGGAAGCTGGGTTTGTAGATAGAGAACAGAAACCCAGAACTCCTTTCAGAGTTGCTCTCCTGGTAGAACCAGCACAGACAGAGCAACAGGAAAAGAAGTTTGGTCTGGTCCAGCCCTTGCTCTCGTGGGTATCTGGGGCAGGTATCTGCAGGGCGAGAGTTCTGTCTGCTTTGTCTCTGCTTTTCAAATAAATATGTTAAAAAATATATATTTTAAAATATTCTTTTCCCAAGTAAACTTTTCTTTCAATTTTACTTTTCCACAAACTTTCTGCAGTGCCAGTGTGAGTGTTAGATGATGGGGTAGCCACTCTGGGATGCGTGCCTTAGGGTCTGAAATGATCCTCTCCAGCTGTTCTACTCAAAAGCACTGCACTAATCTGGTGGGTTTCTAACCAGCCCGGTTAGATTCCCCGCCCCCTCTCCCGCCCCTGTGCTGAGGAGCTGTATGTCAGGCCAGAGGGAGAGCGAGCAAGCGAGCAAGCAGAGCTCCTATCAGTAAGAGGGAGCAGACGCTCAGCGAGGGGGTGGGCCTTGGGCATCAGGGTGTTGTTACCCACAGCCCATACCAGAGTTCCTGAGTTTGAGTCCTGCCTCCACTTTCTTTTTATTTATTTGTTTGTTTGTTCATTTATTTATTTATTGACTCTGCTTCCACTTTCAAGTCCACCCAGTGTGTACCCTGAGAGACCTTGGTGATAGCTCAAGAAATTGGGTCCCTGCCACTCATGTGGGAGAACCAGATGGAACTGCCAGTGTGGGTGAGCCCTAGTCGTGGGCACTTGGGAAGTGATTCAGCAAAGGGGAGATTATTTATTCATTCTCTCTCTGCCTTGAAAAATAATTTTTCGGTGTTCAGTCATGAGTGAGCTGACCTTAAAAGCAAAGAGGAGGGCTGAGAACCAGTTGGGAGGGAAACAGAAACAAATCAGCAAGTTCAGAGAGAAGCTGTGGCTGAGGCGCTGAGAGCAACACAGAAGCGGATCTGGAACCGTGCTGGGAAGACTGCGGCCGCCTTGCCCATGCCTGCACAGCCCTGAGCCACTGCCCAGCTCTTCCAAGACCAGGCCTCTGCCCAGTGGTCTTTTCTTGCCACCCTCCTACTCTGCAGTGCCCTCCTGTGGTAGACACATTGTTGTGCGCAGTTTTTTTGGTTTTTTTTGGGGGGGGGCTGTCTTTAAGGGAGATGACTTCACCTTGTGCTCACTGAAAGGATGAGGCAGGACAATGTGGCATTTTCCAATGCATGCTTTATGGCCAGGGTTGTACAATAGTGGGATAAACTGCCACCTGCATCTCACATGGGTGCCGGTTCCAATCTCAGCCGCTCCACTTCCTATCCTGCTAATATGCCTGGGAAGGAAGCAGAGGATGGCTCAAGTATTTGGACCCCTGTTACCCAAGTGTGAGAACAGGATGGAACTTCAGGGTTCTTGTTCAATCCTGGCTGTCGTGGACATTTGGAGAGAGAATCCACGGACAGAAGATTCTCTCCCTCTCTCCCCACTTCCCCCTTCCTTCCTTTCCCTGCTTCTACCACTCTACCTTTCAAATAGAATGAGAGAAACAGAGAACGAATGAACATGGAGCAGAGAGAATCCCAAATGGCCTTGCTACACAAGGATGCTCTGAAGTACAGAGATGTGTTGGTGAGGCATTGCCCCCAGCAACCCCAGGCTCATCTAGCTGGAAGAAAGGTAGTGGGAGCAGGGATGGATGGAAGAAAAAGGAAGGAAAAGTTGAAAGTAAGTGTGAAATGCTACAGCCTAAAGTTGATGCCCCCAGTCACCAGTGTGGTCCCTGGGAGGCGACAAGACACACAGGTGGGGCTTTCAGGAGTGGGTTCTGTGCTCTTGTGGCAGAACCTCAAGGGAGCTGGCTTGTCCTCTGAGGAGAGAGAAGAAAGGAACCCAGGACAAAGCACTGCAGACACTGCACCTGCCGTCTCCTTGACCGTGGACTTTTCAAGTGTGAGAAATAAAGTTTACAAATGCCCTGGTTCATAGTGTGTTTGGTACAGCTGGACCAAGATGGGGACCACTTGAACATTTCTAAGAGTTTTAGCTGAGAGGGTACCACAGCCCACCCAAGTCTCAGCATGGGCTTCTAACTTTGTGGTGGCAGAGTTAGACTCCGTCTCTCAAACATTCATTGTGTTTCTTTCCAGTCTTCCAGTCTGTCTCCTATATGTACGTCTAACATAAAAATTGGTCCAAAATGCTATCTGGATGGAATTCTTACTAATTGGTGTCTGGCTTCTCTGAGATTTGGGTCTCTCATGAGGATATTCTTTCCTTGGCTCTGCCCTCAATTTTATCATAGAATTTTATTCAGGCATATAGGGGGCAGGTTTTGTGGCACAGCAAGTTAAGCCTCCGCTTGGGACATTTGTACCCCATGTTGGCATGTCTGGTTAAATCCTGGCTCCTCCACTGCTGATGCAGCTGCCTACCAGTGTGCCTGGGAGGCAGCAGAAGATGGCCCAGGCACTTGGGTCTCCTCCACCTCCACTCGTGGTAGAGACCCCAGTGGAGCTCCTGGTTGCTCGCTTTCGCTTAGCCCCACTGTGGCTGTTGGAGGTGGATGGGTAACCTCTGTCACTCTGCTTCCAAGAAGCTTAGAGTACTGGAAGAATTTCAGAGTGAATGCCCACCTAGCCACCATCCAGATTCTACTGTTTACCATCTTGCTCTACCTGTTCATGGAGTATTTATGCACCAACCTGTTAAGTCATCTGCTTTGTTTTCTGGGATGCATTTCAAAGGAATTTGCAGACTCTTGATGATATAATGATATTTTATCCCTTGCCATTTGGTCTGTTTCCTTTGAGTTCATTTAAAGAACTATAGGGTATTTTTAAAATATAACTTTGAGGTTACCTTAATTATTTGCTCTGCTTTCCCAAATGCACCCCATTTTCACTCTTTAGCCATCAAGAACTCCCATTTGTCCACATCCCCTAACCCCCAGGGCGCCAACACATTCTTAATCTCATTCTTTCTTTTCCCATTCCTTCTGCTCTTATCTCTTCACTCAGACACAAGTTTTCATTTGCTTTCCCTTCTCTCTTTCAGCTCCTCCCTCCCCCCACCCTGGCTGATCATTTTAAAAGCAAACAACAGCTGAACAATGCGGGCAGTGTTCTGGGCGGCTGAGTATGCAAGGCACGTCCACGCTCGCGCAAAACACAAGGAAAACACAATCTCTTCCATGTTATTTCTTTGCATCAGAACTGATTAGATCTGTCTGCATGACCTTCATCCATCAGAGCATTTTGCGATTTTAAAAGCCTTCTTAATAGAATAAGTCAAGCTGCCTTTCTTTCCTAGAAGGAACCTTCACTCTTAAATGGTGTGGTTATCTCCAAGGAGACAATGTGTCTTTTGTGGGCTGAGAGGCCACTGCCACCCTACAATTGCTGAATTGTTCACATATATTATACGGTGTGTCATGCTAGCTACGTATTTGCATTGTCCTACATGTATTTCCTTATGGTTGGAGAGAGAGCCTTTTGAAGGGATTTCTACTTTTGCAAGGCAGGCCCACAAGACCCCATGACATTTAGTTTCATAGCCTTGGGCAGCAGTGTTGCTATTTTTTTCCCCCCCAACGAAAGTCTATCAGCAATCAGGTAGAAGACTCAAGATAGTCTCCAGACACACGGATCGCACTCTTATTTACCACGTTGCTAAAATAAAGCCCTCCGTGAAACTCGCAAGGGGTGCTTTTCAATTTCACAACAGTCTTTCAACCTTATCTTCCACTCTAAAGCCGAGTTGGCCAATTTCAAAGTGGAGGAGGAAGGTGAGAAAAGGGAAGATTTTCAGAACAAAATATCCTGGGAAGAAAGAGAAGAGGAATGGTCTAGCATTACATGATACAATTCCTATTTTCCAATATCCCAGCTTTTTTGGCACTGGGAAGAGAAAGACGAATGAGCACACAGGTGTGTATGGCCTCACAAAGTTTGCCATTCAGTAAGGGACATGTGGCACCCCGCCCCCCGAGTTTCTTTTCTCAGAAATGAGAATCCTAGTCTAGCTTTAAGTTTAAAATCCTAAGACAATCCCAAGAGCATGTAAGAAGCCCCTACTGTGTATGGTGTCTTTTATTAATCCTTACTTCCAGCAAGCATGATAGTCACAGAAAACTGGAAAAAAAAATTCTTGAACTTGTGTATATTGCCCCAGACACTGTCCATCGTTGTGCTTATAAACCTCAAAAAGGAATCAAGCATGTCTGATCTATCACAAGCCATCGTTAACGTCTCTTCCTTTGTCCTACTCAGACTTGTGAGCAAAGTAAACAGAGAAACCAATGCTCTCTTTTCAGAGGAAGAGAACCCGGTTCATCGCCTGTGATTTCCTCACGGAGTGGTTATACAAGTAAGTTGTCCTTCGAGTGGCCAGCCTTCTGTGGGACGTCTGTGAGCACAGGAACCACCACTGACTTGCGCTCTCGCTCACTCTTTCCTCGGAAATCCATCACACGGCATCCTGAACAGTCATCATCCAAAGAGGACAGGGGAGCCATTCACAGAGTTCTTCTCCATCCCGTTTGTGGAAGAGTGGCTCAAGCAACAGTAAGTACTGCACAGGGCTTGGCTCGATCGAGTCCTCGTCTGGACTGGGTTCCCCATTGTTCCCTCCAATTTAAGAGAACCCCAGCTCTGTTACATTGGCTAATTCATCTTTGCTTATTTTTGACCTATGCTAAGCTCATCTTATCTCTGCAGTGATGTTACTCAAGAAGCATATCAGAAATAAAATAGAAAACTTCAAATTATCTAATTTGAAGTAATTCATCTTCCCCCTGCCTCTCTGAGAACACTCTGTCACAGGAAGTATAACAACTTAGATAAAAGTTAATTTTTCAATGCATGCATTAACTCTCCATTCTCAATATTAGAGCGAGTCAGATAAAGTTTTAAAGTGCTGTTTGACTATTCTGTAATCCTCTCATGGAAGCAGTCAGTCACTGGTAAATCCTTCCAGAGTTGTCAGAATTAGATATTTTACAATATAAAGTTAGTTTCTATTATATAAAATCAATAGCATTTATACCAAACTGTACTATTGTGTAATATTAGCTGTTTTTTTATGATAACAATGAGCCCAGCTAACATGCAACAGGTGCGTCTGTCATTTTTCTCTGTTTTTAACACCGTTGTACTCATTTGGTCCTTAAAACAATGCTATTACCAGCCTTAGTTTTGCAAATGAGGAAATTTTCATATTCTACTGCTTTAACAGCAATATATACTTGTGAGACTGAGCCATGCTGAACCCATTACATCAAATTTGTGCCTTCTCTGATGTCTCTACAGTAGATCTTACTGCCAGATTAGCATAATTTATTCATTCACACAACAAATATTTTTGAGTGCTACTCTACCAGATCCATTCTGGGTATTGGAGAAAGAGTAGTGGCAGGAAACAAAGTATCCCATCACTTCTGTCTTCCACACATTTGCAGTCAACTGGGGAAGACAGAAGAGTAAGTGAGTAAACGCTGGGAGGGAGCAAAGCAGAGAAGCGAGAACGGGGAGTTCGTGGGGCCTTAATCAGAGAGCAGTCAGGAACGATGTGCTCAGTGGATGGAAGCCAAGCAGCACTGCATCGCTTTAAGCCATAGGTGGGAGAAAAGAGCTCGACTAGGAGGAAATAACACGCATTTCTGTCGGGCTCCAGTAATGTTTCCATGCTGGCCCTGGATAGGAACAATGTGAGGAAGCCAAGGGCAAGGAAATCGAGCAAGCCTTGCGAGGCCACGTGGTACATGGTGTGGAAGACCTTAAATTAGACCTGCGGCCTCCAGTGCCACATTGGTGGCCTGAGTCTCCTCATAAGAATTCCAGAATAGACTCTTGCCTGACTCAATTTTGAGAATTAAAAAAAAAACAGATAAGGAAAAAAATTTGTTTCTTATTTAGCTTCTAATCCTGTGCTTCATTTCATCCAGTCTGATATGGAATATCCGTCAATTGGTTTGCATATAATTTTCTAAAACAAGATGTTAGATTTTCCAAGTTCCTGCTTTTGCCTTGAAAAGTTATTTTCCCTCTTGTCATGACCAATGAAAAGGATAACATCTCTAAACAACAGTTTTCTCAAATTCCTAGTCATTTACCATATAAATATTCTTTAAAAAAAAATGCTGGTCAGGGCCCAGCATGGTAGCCTAGTGGCTGAAGTCTTTGCCTTGTACATGCCAGGATCCCATGTGAGTGCTGGTTCATGTCCCAGCAGCCCCACTTCCCATCCAGCTCCCTGCCTATGGCCTGGGAGGGCAATGAGGGATGGCCATGGGACCCTGTGCCTGCATGGGAGACCTGGAAGAGGTTCCTGGCACCTGGCTTTGGATTGGCTCAGCTCCAGCCATTGCAGCCGCTTGGGGAGTGAATCATTGGACAGAAGATCTTCCTCTCTGTATCTCCTCCTCTCTGTATATCTGACTTTCCAATAAAAATGAATCTTTTTAAACAAACTGCCGTTTATTGGAGAGACAAAGCTCACGTCTACTGGTTCACTTTCTGAGTGCTCCTGATGGCAGGAGGAGGGGAAGGGGGAATTCAATGGACACCTGCCCAGTGGGAGGGGCCGGAACCCAGTCACTGGAGCCATCCCTGCTGCCTCCCAGGGTGTGCATCAGCAGGCAGGGAGCCCTGGCACGCTGACGGACAACACGGGCATCCTCTTCAACAGCCTCACCGCTAGACTCAATGCCTGCCCCACCTTAGACAAAAATCCTCATGAAAAATGCCTGTGGTTTCCACTGGCCAATCCTGTGCAAAGTCTTCAAAAACCTGATCAAAGATGTGCTATGAAAAAAACGATGCTTCGATTTTTAAAAAGTTGGCCTCAAAAGAATCTTTTTAAATTAAGTTTTTCTAAGAGTTACTTATTTGAAAGTTTGAGTTAGAGAGGAGAGGGAAAGGAGAAGAGGGGGAAGGAAGGAGAGGAAGAGCCAGCGAGCGAGCTTCCAGTTGCTGGTTCACTCCCTAAATGGCCCCAAGGGCCAGGGCTGGGCCAGATTGAAGCCAGGAGCCCAGAACTCTGCCTCTGTCCCCCAGGTGGGTTGCAGGAGACCAAATACTTTGGCTATTTTCTGCTACTTTCCTGGGTACATTAGAAGCAAGCTGAATCAGAAGCAATCCATCTGGGACTTGAGTCAGCACTCATATGAGGAAAAGAAACACACACACTCTTAGTTGGACTGGTATTTGTATTCTCCACTTCCATTACCTTTCAAAGGGAGGTCCCTGAAGCATGAAAACGATTAAAATGATGTTGGGCTAATTCATTTGAAGCAATAAATGTCTACTGAACTATTACCCACTGCAACACAGAGCTTAGAGCTGCGAATAAAGTAGAGATGAATAAATTACATCTCCAGCCCTAGGGGAGTGGGGATGGAGGTAGAGAAAAGTGTTTAGCAGCAGTTAAAGACTCTGTAATGAATACTGTAATACAGATGTGAGCAGAACTGCACAGGGAAACAGGCTGGGCATCGAGTCAGTCCAGCTGGGGCAGGAGCCATGCTGCACAGTGCCCAGGACTGGTGTGGAGGGGCAAGAACTCCATTCAGTGTTTTTTTCCCAGGAAAAGTCAGAGAAGCAAGCATGAACTCAAGTTCTTAGCGAACGAGGGCAGGAGATGGCAAACAACGTTTATTCTAGTTTTTTTCATTATGTGGGCACTGTTGACATTTGGGACCAAGACAATTCTTTGTTGTGGGGGATTGGCTTGTGTGTCGAAGGGTACTGAGCAGCATCTCCGGCCTCCTCCTCTTATTAGAGTCCAACAGCTTCCCCCTACTGATGTGTCATTCGAAGCTGTTGCCACACAGACAGATGTCCTCCAAGTTGGGGTTAGGAAGAGGCAAGAACTCATCTAGTGGTTTTCTACTCTGGTTGCACTTGGAAATGATCTGGGGAGATTTAGCTTGACCCAAGACTGCTTGTTCTATCGGAATCCTCAGGTATGCTATAGATTTTTTTTTTTTTTTAACATCCTGGGTGATTCTAATGAACAGGTAAGACTGAGTTTGATCAACAACAAGACATTTTGAATCTAGGAGATGGTAAATAGTATCATGGAGCTGTTACTCCATGGTGAATTTTTTATTCTCATAGATGAACTGTGTAATGGAGACTAGCATACCAGGAAGTGAAGACACATTGCAAAAGTGTCTCTACTCACATAAAAGCAGGACTCCCAATGTAACATTTACATGTACCTCTACAGTATGATACTAGATTTTCTACCTTTGCTCATACCTACCATGCCATTTTAAATAGCAGAAAGTTAGACTTGTGTTACTAGGGGAGTATACTACTGTGATAAATTGGGAAAATAGCAGGAGGGAGGCAGGAACTCGTATGCCAATAAAACTGTCTTAGAAAACAATTTAGAAAATCAGTAAAAAAAAATTAAGTGGCTAATAAGAAATTATTGTTGGGGCCAGTGCATGGTAGATCAGTTCCTGTGATGCTGGTGTCCCATATCACAGAATGGTTTGAGTCCCAGCTGCCCCTTTCCAGTCCAGCTCTCTAATAATGCCCCTGGGAAGAGCAACAGAAAACAACCCAGTTACTCAGGCCACTACCTTTCACATGGGACACCCAGATGGAGCTCGGGCTCCTGGCTCCAACCTGGCCCAGTCTGGACCACCGTGGCCATTCGGGGAGTAAGTCAGTAGACAGAAGATTTCTTTCTCTCATCTGCCTTTCAAGTAAATCAATCTTCAAAAAAAATTTTCTTCTTTATGTGAAGTATGATGATAATGATTTCATAGTCACAATAAAAAAGTTATTACTTTTTGGGGAGACACACTGACATGTTTACATATAAAATTACATATTTGGTTAGGAAAAATGGCAGATACAGAGAACAATACAATCGAAGCTGGCAAGTGAGGACATGGCTTCATTTTTTTTTTTTTTTGCTGTCTGTTGTTGCATGTCTTTGACATCTTCCATAATAAAACATTAGAAGGGACAGCAAGCATGAGATGTTCCACAGCTCCTAGTTAGTGTCTGAGTGCAAGGAGGGTGGGAGCTGCGCCATGGGCAAGGAACGATCTGTTGCCTGGCAGTGAGCCAGCCGGAGTTTTCCATTGTAGACAGCTGGGGTGACAGGCAGTGGTGGAGGGGACTGAATTTTCACAAGGTCATGCTGAGAAATTCTAATGTCATGAAAGAAAAAAAAAATGGCCCCAGGGCCTTGGGGAGAGTGACAGGTGCAGGCTCAAGAGACAAGTACCGTGGTGCCAGGGATGTCTTGCTCAGTCACCCCTCCTGAGGCCTGGCTGAGACATTTATAATTTACCAGCTGGTTTACTCACATGCATCTCACTCTCCTTGCTACATCCCACCCTAGCGCCAACACACTCCTCTATACCTCCTCTCACCTGAGATCAACAGTGATCAGAACTGAGACTGGTAGAAAACCAGCCCTACAAAACCACCTGAAGGATGCCAGGCCCTAATTGGGTCATTTAAGGTCTTGCGCAGGAACAGTTGACTTGCAGTTTCTGTCTTAGGTTCTGATTTTACAGTACAACTCTATGCATTGTCTGTCA